AAATAAAATAAACAATAAAAGGTGAATCAAATAGACCATTACGGCAAGGCTGGGATGGTCAATTTGGTAAAGTAAATCCGTTGGGCATCTTTCTTCGCCTTTAGACAATAATTCTGATGGCAAAAGAACCAAACGGGACAGGCAAAAAAAAAAAAGGAACAAATTAAAACCATTAGAAACCTTCATGGCAATTAAACAATAATTTAGTGTAGATTCTTATTTCTACAAAACACTCACATGGACTTGTTTCTCACTCTGTTACCCATTTCCAGCCTTACTTAACAGCATGTCACCAGTATCTTATTCAGTTTTTCTCTTCCATTTAGGATTACAGCTCTTTAAACTATCTTCTCATTGTTGTTGATGCAACTCTGACTCTAACCAACGCTCCAGAGAACATTGGACTTAAACCAGACAAACTCAGGACAAAGGTAAAAAAAAAAATTTTGTTTGTTTGTTTTTTAAGACCAATTTTGTTAAATTACTCACATGAGCAGTTGCTCTTTAATACAGCTACCTTTGAGTTCAGTGTACTATAACAATTACATTACAATAATGTTTGTAACAGTCTAAGATGGACAGAAAGTCACAGCCTTCTAGGATTTGTGCATCTGAAGACATACTGTTGTTTTGGGTCTGCACATCATTATTATTATTATTATTATTATTATTATTATTATTATTATTATTATTATTATCTAAATGTCCACAGGCAAAACTGACAGTGTTCCTTGAGAGAAAGACTGAATTCCTGGTCAAAGTTGCGTGGTGGATAATCTTCCTGACAGTCATGTCTTTGCTGCTGCTGTTGGCCTTTTTAGGCTTCCTACTGTGGAAGGTAACAACAAATACAGAATACCTGTAAAATGTTGTTTTAAAAATTCACTGAGCTGATAGCTATACAGTTCATAGCATCAGCAGTGTCAAATCAGTCTCTCAGTAATCTTCCAACAAAGCAGTAAAAGCAGTTTGTTTTTTCCAGCAGTTGCAAGCATTACTCTTAGCATTCTTCCTAAATTGTGAATACTTTAAATAGAAAAGGCAAATTTCTGCAGTCTGAAAGCACTTAAATGTGGCACAGATGAGGATTTTTGAATGTACAATGAACAGTTGAAACGGTTACTATTTTTCATGAATTCTTTACTTTTTACAAACTTGTCTGTGAACTGTCATAGGCCTACTGACCCTTGTCCTTATTTCTTTTTGTAAGCATGGGTGCATCCACTGCATTGATCATAAGAAGAAGTTCTCAGATAATGGAGCTCCAAACACAGAGACAGCACCCCTTAAAGGCTAAAGGGCAAACCTTAAGGACACCTTGAAGATTTAAGAACAACACTGAGGCTTCCATGGCGAGCTGTTGTTTTATATTTTCTACTATTAGCACAGAATTATCTGATAATTTTATGATGTGTTAGGATTAATTTTTTATTGTTTTGGTTTTTGTTTGTGTTTTGTCACCCAATTTATTTGAATGTTTACACTTTTCCAGCATTTTCCCTGTTTCATTAATGTCTCCCTCTTTTTCCATTGTTTATTTCCCGACTCCAGACAACACTTTCTGTTGTATGTGTGCAAGTGCACTTACCAACATGGTGTGGAAAGTTGATTATGTCTCACCTCAATGCTCAGCATCTTGGCTACATAACAAAAAAAGGAGAGACTACCAAACATTTTTTTATTTCTAGCCAGTAGAAGGAAGATACAATGTTTTTGAATGCCCAGCTAATTAATTAAGAGTGGTCCTTTTTTCATGCATTTGCAAGTTTACATATTTTGTGGCAGTGTTCATTTTTCATTCTGTTAAATTGTCATAATCAGCATGGAAGAATTTTATATTACGTGTAGTCATATGCACAGTAATTTGCAGATGTTCACAAAATGCATAGCAATCACAGTCAAACCTTATAAACATACTCCTTTTTTTAATCACACACAAAACAGTGAAGGGCAGAAAATCTGATCATCTTAAATAACTGAAAAAAATGGATAAAGAGGACAAGCCTGTTTGGATATTCAGCTCCCATAAATGACACACCTGTGCGCTCTCAATTGTAGCTCCTGCACTTCAGTGTTTTGCTTCTGTGTTTCATTTTGTCCTCTTTTAAATTAAATGGCAATTTCAGGCTTTAAATTAAACTTCACAGCATAAACTGTAAACCATCACACTAGCTGCTAATCTTTGTCTGTTCATACTTAATCCAGTTTGTTTTCTTGTGTTTCACTAAGGTAAGATTTGCCCTATCACACAGAAAGAAAAGATGCTACCTAATCTTTCAAAGAGGAGTGGTGAAGGTCACATGCAAAGAAAAAAAGCTTTCTTCTCTTCTGTGCCCTCCAGATGCAGTTTAGGAAGTGAGATATCCTTTACTATGGTAAACTGATACTGATTTCCAGATCGCAGCAGGAGGATAGAGGAGACAATGAGGCACAAATCAGAGAAATAGGAAAGGTCTCTACCATGTATTTATAGGAGCTGAGACAGAAGTAAACATTTGCATTAGTATTATTAAATGATGTAGTTCTCTTTCCATTTGTCAGTTGTCAGTCTGTCCTCTTCTACTTCTTGTTTGCCTGTCAGTTTACCTTCCTGTATCTGTTCTTGTCTTCATATTTACCTCAGTGACTTTGTTTCTTGTTTTGGATTTGTTTTTTCGTAGTCCACTTTGGATCACGTGCTTGTTCTCTGCAGTCTTATGTCTTCTTTGTTCATCTGTAGTTATTTTTGTTGAGCTGGTGACTTGTGCGTATGATCTAAGCCTGAACATGGAAATATTCTGTAACTAAAGCAAGTGTTGTTTAGTTTTTGTATTTTGGCTGTTATTAAATATAATTACCTTGAAAAAATTAAAGAATCAACATCTTTTTCTTCAGTTTTTTAATGAAGCAAAAAATGTCACTTGTTTGATACCAAAAAACTGTCACAACAACATGAAAAAAAAAAAGTTGTGCTATACTTTCACCATGAAGGAATGTGAGTTGCAGAAATGGATGCGAGTTCGGACTCAAAAACAACTTTCCTAAAATTGAATGGAAATATTGCAGCCATCACAGACATGTCTGACTGCTGAGCACTGAAAGCACACGATTAAAACACTGTTGCTTTTAAAATACTGTGAAACACTTTGTCATTTTCTTTGTGCAATATAATGCTGTGTGTGGTGAAGTCTTAGCCACGGTTCCTACTGTTGTTGAAGGCTTTCATTTCAAATTAACATATCCACCTTCACATGCTGGCATTTTGTTTGCGTTTTGTTCAACAAAGTGCTGGAAACAGTCCTCAGAGAATTTGGTCCATACTAATATGTTAGCATTACACAGTTCCTGTTACCCACTGAGCATTTTCAAAGCAGTTGGAAACAGTTGGTAATTGGTGTAAAAATGGATATGTTATGAAAGGAAATCCTTCTTTAGATCATATTTCTATTTTACAGGCATATTTCCACCTCAGTAGATTTAATTCTGTTACAAGCAAATGGAATTTTACAATTTCTCTTCAACTTAAGTGTCCTTTTGCAGCATCTATACATTCTCTTATATTCTCTTGTCTCCCCAGCTGTTCTATTCAGTCACTTTCATCATCTCCTGGAAATAGTTGAGCATTTTGGAAACTGTGCTTATTTGCTTTTTTTAAGGTGGACCTAAAGCAAGCAGCTCAGCATAAAAGCTAGAAAGTGAGAAACACTGTCAACTTTCACTTTACAAAACACAAATTAAAATGCAACACTGAATAATGTTTAAGAAAATGTTACTTTAAAGATGCTGAAAAGTAAAGTGTAAAAATTGATACTGAGGTTATACACTCACTGGCCACTTCATAGGTTACAACTTCAGAAGACCTTGAGAACTACCTTAATTCTTTGCAACATAGTTTAAGGAATGTTTTGGATAAATTCTTAATACAGCATCACACCGTTGCTGCAGATTAGTCAGCTGCACACCCATGATGCTGTTCCACCACATCCCAAAGGTGCTCTATGTTCTTGTTTTCACCAAATTCTGACCAAACCATCTTCATCTGATCATCAGACCAGGCAATCTTTCTATTATCCAATTTTGGTCAGTCCACATGAATCATAGTTTCAGTTCCCCATTTTTAGCTGAGAGGAGTGGCACTCAGTGTGGTCTTCTGCTACTATAGACTATCTGATTCAAGATTGAATGCATCTGGTCATTCTCCTCTGACCTCAGGCCATCAAAAACGTATTTTGTCCCAGGGAACTGCCACTCACTGCATATTTTCCCTTTGCCAAACCATTCTCTGTAAACCCTAGAGATGGTTGTGTGGGGAAAATCCCAGTGAATCAGCAGTTTCTGAAATACTCAGACCAGCCCATCTGACATACATAACCATACCATGTTCAAAGTCACTTAAAACACTAATTCTTACCCAGTCTGCTGCTGGTGAAAATTAACCAGGTCATCTTTAACATGTCTACATAACTGGCGTGACTAGCTAGGCAGATATACATCAACAACTGAACTGATATACTTTATGAAGTGGCTGGTAAGTGTGTGTTGGTCTATTTCGTGGCAAAGATTGCATTTTTATTAGCAGATCTGAAGTTAAAATACGTTAATTTGCAAATTCAACTATTCCTTGTATATAGATTTTCTCATCCAAGCTAGTTACTTTGTTTTAAACTAATCAGCTGCTGAATCTGTCTTTTTGTTGTTTTCTAAATCTTAATCTCATCATTTTACACTTTGCAAGCTAAGCACACTTCCCAGAATGTTAAACTAATCTTTTCTTCTCCTCTTTCCTGATGACAACTCCTCACAAGCTTTGTCTTGAAAGTTCTTTGATTTTATCTTCATTAAAACAGCACATGAAAATTAAGAACCATCATCTAAGTTCTGACATCATTTTTCTCTCTGAAACCATTCAGTCCAACGTTACAATATGTAGTGTGCTCACCGACTGTTTTCAACAACTTTTGTTGCTTTTAGGAAAAATAAGTACAAAAGCATACTATTAAAAAAGGTCCCAGCATCCTCTCAACAAGACCGGCACATATAACAAACATTATAAAACGATCACACAAACGCACACATACGCACACACTCACACATGATGCTCTTTACCCCTCTCTGTTTAGAAGTAAAGAAGCCAGAAAACAACTACAGCTGATAATAAGTGTTCTAATGTATATGATAATATTTTAAAATGACTGGTTTACAAAAAAGTATTATTAATACAACTTGATTTTTCCCTTTTTTCACCACCAGAGAACTTGAAAGACAAACTTACATTAGAAGAAAACACACAGCCATTGTCTTGAAATAATAATAAAACAAAATATGATATTACAAATAAATTAAAAACAGCAATATATTACACTGATATAAGCAACCCAACTTGGTTTGAGCTTTTACATTCAAAATCAGCCCATTGTTTGGTTTCAAGAGTCACACTTTTGCCTTTTTCAAATGTTTCCAAGCCAAAGTATGGAGCTTTAATTTAAAACACTTTATCTTACTGCTTTAAAAAGATAGAAAAATTAATTAAATGAACCACAGCTAAAATGAACTCCAATGTACTGAAACTTAATTTAAAGAGAGAAGCAGCAAACAAATGTACGTTAAATCAGCTGCTCACTGAAACTACATAGTAATTATGGGCACGGCTAATCTCTACCTCACAGACCACCAAGTGGTCACCGCCATCACCCACACATCCTGCCAATTCATTTGATGTTAAAAAGTTTATTCCTTTGTTCCCCTTAAGACTCCCAGCACTGCACATCGTTCAGCATCTAAAGCCAATCAGTCAAACATGACACTAAAAAAATAAAAGATGATATTTTTAAGTTGTGTTTTTAATTATCAGTGTGTTTTATGTCTCATTAGTTGCTTGGGGAGTAGGAAAAATATTCAGTGTTTATTTAGTGCTGTAAACAGGTCTTTGATTATTGCTAAATTAGCCTGTTTTTACTGTTGTTTTAATGCTGGTGTAACCGAATGGAATGGCAATTATTTTCTTAATAATGTGCTTTAGACTCCAGCATGACAGAAATTTTCCCCTCACTTCCACACTTTAATATCCAGCTATCTCCACATGGTGGCAGCAGTGACCACAAAAGGCAGAGGCAACAAAGAAAATGGGGAGAAAGAGAGCAGACCAGCTGCCGATCGAACCCGTCCCTGCCCGTTGTTTCTGTTCCACTTGGACCCGTTTCTGTCTCGGCCTCGAGGCGGCTTTGCAGGGTTGGAGGCGGGGTTATTTGAGGGTTTGGTGTAGGGCGGAGAGTAAGGCCCATAACCTGGCCAGTCATGATTGTACCTTTCGCCATGATCTCCACCTCCTGAGCCACTGCCTTCCTCACCTGAAACAGGAAAAGCACATTTTCATCTGATATATGGAGCAGATATAAAAATATCAAGTCTAAATTTTAGGAACACTCACTGTCCATGAAGTCCATGTCCTGTCCACTCATAGCATGCCTCAGTTTATTGGTCACCACCCTCAGCTCCATGATCAGCTGCCTGGTCCTCACATCTGGACGTGCAATATCCACTTCCACCTCAGGGTTATTGATCTGGCTCACCAAACCGTCACCTGTCACATCTGGCAGGTACCTGAGCATACGCACAAAGAGGCATTCAAATACATAGTAGCTTATTCTCTGCTATTTAATTTTTTTAAGAACACTAAAGGTTTATGTGCAGTGATACCCTTTGTAATCAAATCTTTAATGGCTAGGCTCTAGAGATGGTTATGGCCAATCAGTCCCTTTGCTTTAGTCCAGACAGAAACATCTCAGCAGTCATCATCTGATGGATTGCTGTGACATTTTGTACAGACACTAATAGTCCCCAGAGGATTAATCCCACTGACTCTGGTTTCATGTGGCTGCCTGGACCACTGGGCTGACATTTTCGATACAGAGCACAATGTTTCAGCAGCTATTGGTTTGTTTTATGTCAAGCTTTATTGAATTTTTAATAATGCATGTATTACTTTTTGCTTACAAGACAGTTAGCTGCACCATATATATTTTTAAAGTTACAATCTGGAATGCCCAAAGGACATTTCACAGTTATTATCACTTATTGTATATGTGATAATACAAGATAATTATAGCACAGCCAGCACATCTGGTTTGTGACTGAAGATGGATGTGCTTTTATATAAAATGCTGACTGATGACGGTGGACAATCAGTTCCCCTCTTTCTGTGTAACACACTCACTAGTGTTTCTTCTCAAATGAGCTTGATTCATTGGTATGTACACAGAACAAGCAGACCCAGGTAGAGAACATGTGGGTGAGTGGCGGTGGCATAATTAAATAAACTCAGTTCCATCTGTTGCATCCTTCCACCTCTGCACCATCACTCACTCACTCCTCCTCCTCCGCCTGTACAGACCCTCCCCTCAGCAGCCTTTTGCTCTGATCTCGCTCACCTCCCCCGGGTCTGCCCATTCCAGCAGCGGTCCTCATTAGTGACGTCGGCAGCCATCTTCTCATCGTTGCAGATGGTGTGTGGGAGGGACACCCAGAAGCCCCGCATGGGCCGCAGACGCTCTTTCAGCTCGGTAACCTGTGTGGAGGTGGAAGGAAACTGGCTATGACTCAGACATGGTTTTAAAGTATCTTTGTATGAAAGCTGCAGGGCTGATGCTGGGTAAAGGTAAAAACCTAATACAGCTTTGCTTCTGGGTCAGCTCTTAAACAACATTTCTTTTCAGTCTTATAAACAGATATAAATATCTAATACCCCCTTCGTCTGTGCTCTGATCTTAAGCTCTTTTTATTTAGGCATTTATATCTTGCAAGACCACACTATTCAAAGAAATTCTGTCTGGGCTCTAACCACAGGACTCTCTGTTATTAGTCGCTCTGACTTATTTTAGTGTTTTGGGGTTTTTTTCCCCTTTTTTTCCCTCTTGATCTGAATCAGATTCATGTGCAGAGCAAACATGTGCGACATTCTTACAGTTTTTTCCTGATATATTTAAAGAAAGCTCAACACAAAAGGGTAAATTGTGCACCATTAAAACAAGTAGTATCTATTTCTGTATCAACAATGTGCCAATTTGCTCACTGTAACATGTGAAAAGTGGCACTTATCATGAACCCACCAAAAACAGTCACTCATCAGCATCTCGAACCACTTCAAAGGGTTTTATCTGGTTTCAATGTAAGCACTTTGTTTCTCTTAGTGAAAAAGCACTAAACGGCCAATGGATGGTACTTAGCAAGCACCAAATGGCAAATACAGCAGAAATACAATAATTTTAGGCCTTAGCTGATTTTTTTTCTTTTCTTTTCTTTTTTTTTTTTTTTACCTTTATTGACAAGTGCAACCCAAGATTAAGAATTCCTACTGGTACCGCGTCACCGTGCTGTTTGCTCCTTACCAATCGATCCAGGTTGGTGCCTGCAGCAGTGGTGGGTTTCTCTTCAGGAGTGTAGGTGCGGAAAGGCCTCCTGTTGCCCCCGGACTCTTTGGGCGAGCGTTTGGACCTTGCTGGAGCTGGCCTGGGGTTTCCACAGCCTTGGAACACCTGAGGTACACAGCAACAGCATTTTTAAGATTAAAATTAAAAAGATTCTTCTATGCTGTGTCAAGAAAACTGTATATTCTCAAACTAATATGTGATTTCTTAGAATTTCTTCTAACAACACCTAAAGAATAAGTGCAAAAGGCTCAGTGCTTTCTTCTAAGAGAAAAAAGGTAGCTTTGATTTAAGTTTTGAATTAAAGCTTAAAAAAAACACCAGGGACCTTTGATTTCTGGGGAAAAGAGTCAATGACGTCTACAGACAAAAATGTTGCAACTGAACAATGTTGAAAAAGCTCCCCCTAACCTCAACAGTCACGCTCTGTTAGAGTGCAGTTGCACAAAGCTGGATTGTAAAGCAGAGAGCTGTCTGTTCCTTAAAGCACTACCAACACAAACCAGGAGCTTTTCTGTTTCTAACAAGACGTGGGTGTCTCTCTGGTGGATTCACTCCTGGGATGTCTGCCATGTTTTAATCATACTCCGAGGCTATCATGTTCGCATCTTTACTGCATGCTGTCTCATTAGAAAGATTAAAAATGAAATTAAACAATAATTAAGATTACAGCTTTTGCTTGAATATCGAAGAAGATCATTTGCATGTCCTCTCAAAGGTTCAGTTAACATTTCACTCGATTGATTCACAATTGCCAAACTCTCGGAAAGCAATAAAAAAATATAACAATACTCATTTGGTTTTCATTTTTATGTACTGATCATCTGCTGTGCTTTCTTACTTTGCTGGAGATGCTGACACTGTTTTCCTGCATGTGCATAATGGCCTCTGACACTTTTACAGAGATAGAGTCGGCTGCAAGCTCCATGTTGAAAGGCCCCTCCAGCTTCTCTGAAACCTGGTACAGAGCATCTGAAAAACATAGAGATGGTAGAGTGATAAAGTTTGCTTTGACTTTAGTTCTCACTTTCAGGTAATATACAGAAGAAGAAAAAAACTGTGTAGGTGGGCTTCTGTAGAGCCTGATGAATGTCAAGACAGTGGTTCCCTGTGTCTGGAATCTCCCCCCTGGCCAACCAGCTAAAAGAGTGTGATTTACATCTCTTTAAGGGGTGTTCAGTAAGATAAAGAAGCAAGCTGTCACAATATAAAGAGAAGCGTGAAAAAGAGAGGAGAATGGTGGTCAGACAAAAGGCTGCATGAGGGTAAAATGGTTTTGAGTTCAGCAGGCATGGATGGAGCGATGAAAGGTAAGAGGAAGCACTCCAGATGAAAAGAAAAAATAGAGGGAATGTATGGGTTTGATGAAAGGAGAAAGGAAACACAGGAAGACAGATCAATTGTGAAGGAGCAGAGAGGCATGAATGATTAATGGAGGAGGAACTCATTAGGGAAAAGGACGTGAAAGTAAATGAGTGACAGGGGCACAAAAAAAGGATGCTACTTTTTGGGATGTCTGGTTTAATTATGATGAGAACAATTCAAAGTGCTTAGACACTGACTCTCCTATGCTTAAAGATCTAAAAATGATGCTGAAACTCAGGTTCTTCAAAAGCTTTAGCTTTTTAAAATGTGCCATCCACTACCTATGAAATCACATATAAAGATATTCCATCACCCACCAATGAAATTGTTCCATTCGGTGTCCAGGTCAGCCTGATTGGCTAAGCAGCCCTTCATCACGTTAAGGCACAATGAGCGGCAGGGGCGCACGGAGGGCATACCTCGACACAGTGGGCAGTACCACTGACGCATCAGGCCACGCACACACTCTGAATCTGCAGTTAACTGAAAGCAAAGGACAGAATAAAACGGATTAAATACATAAACACACAATGACCATTACTTAACAAAGGGGTTTTACATATTTGCAATTCCAAAAGTTATGTTTAGAAAAACTAATTTACTCAGTTACCAGTTCACACTACAGGGCCAGCAGTTTAGTGTGGACTTGTCTGGATAATGATTCACTTCCTGCTGGTAACAAGATGATTTTGTTTTTGCGTCAAAGTTTAGATTAAATGTCTGATAATCTAATAAACAGGATTACTCTATAAAGTCTAGACTAACTATTGTGTTTTTGAGTGACTAGCCGTTTAAACAAGAACATAATGAAAGGATATAATTGCTTGCCAGTATGCTTTAGACAGCAGAATATCATCAATGCCACCTTGGTATTAAATATTCCACTCAAGATAAGCATGAAGAGATGCTGAATAAGAGCCACTCACCTTTGTTGCTTTGTTGACAATGTCCCGACCAGTAGCAAGCCCTTGAGATAACGCTCTGGCTGCTATGAAAGCCCTCGACACCTGAATGTCAAACCAAAGATAACAGATTAGGGTCCCCCTTTGCCATCCTGCTATATAAGTACAGTATATATGAGCTCTGTAGATTTTACTATAGACACACTTGTACACGAAGTTTGCGAGGGACATCCCCAAATGGTTGCAGCTGTTCGGCGTGCTTGCTGACACACTCTAGGTAGTCCTCACTGAACTGATACTGGGGGTTTACCAGAGAGAAGACCCGCTCCACAAGTCTGGACCAGAAATCTGACAGAACCTCTGCCAGACTCACACTTCCCCCTGTGAACAATAGAGTAACAGTTATACTATATAAGAATATGTTTTTGTTTTCTTATCTGATAAATGCTTCGAAAAAGAGTCACAGCAGTTAGAATGGATCTCACCACGACAATGCTATTGGAGAGTATTTAAAGACAGATTTCTCTCATCTTCTTCCAATAAAAGCTATGTTAAGCTATAAAGACCATCAGATAAATTAGTTTGGTAAGTGCGGCCATATTTGAACAGCTAGAAGGACAAAGAAACCATTCTCAATATTTATATGCGCTGTTTACTTTGCATTCAGCATCCAAATGACTAACTGCTGAAGTGTGTGCATTAAAATTCCAAGGTTTTTGAAGGAAAGTACAGAAAAATACTTTTATAAATACCTGATTGTTTTACTAAAGTGTTTTTCTCCTTGGCTAAACACACAGTACAAGCTATGGAGAAGTCTGATTGACATTGCTTTAAATATCTCACTTAATAATTTTTGATGTATTTGAGAAACAACAGTTTTGGGGAAAAGATGGAGATTTTAGAGCAAACTCTGTCCTTGCTTCTTTAAATAACACTCTAGCGAAGTTGTATGTCTCACTTTGGTTAAAAATATTGTAATCAAAAAACTTTATAAAACTATATACAATTTATAAAATTTAATAAAACTTAATCCAGTTGATAAATGAACACATTTTTTTTAATGATAACATAAATTCGAACACTAAATGTTTTCTGCTTTAGAACATAATAGTATCCATAATGTTTTGTCTGCTTGAGTGTTTCTACAGAATGAGCATGTGAATCTCCAATCTGTAGTCTACTATACTGCCTTAAATTAGCCATACATGCTGTTTGGCAGAGAAGGACAGGCTGACTTAGCAGCCTGCAGATGGAGGAGTCAGTGAGCGGCTGTGAAGCCAAAAACAGAACGATCCGGAACAAAAATAGAAATGGTCTGGCATCTGTGGGAATCCAATTCTCTCTCTCCTTTTTTTCCTCCAGTTTTTCCTGGCATGTTGGTTCCCCTCAAAAGACAATGATGCTTTTTTTATTGCTGTCTATAACTGCTGATTTACCACAACATGGACGTGGACTGTCTGAACTATACATAAATGTCAGTGTCGGAAGGAATTATTGTACTTCTTTAAACAGAGATCAGTCTTTTTAAACATTTCCCTGCAGTCATTCTTTCCTCGTAGTGGTACTGGAGCCCACTGTAGAATACATAAGCCAGGCGGGTTACTTAAATTACTGTTTTAACACTGTGGAATAGAACGTGGATTTTTCCCTCCATGTTGTTTGGATTGGAAGCTAGTGATTGCCATTTGTGTTTTGGATCAGTAAACCATCATTACATCCCTAATCTCCTTCTTTTATATGGCAGAGCCAACCAAAGTCCACTCAGCAGCAAGCCTGACAACCCTGTGCACTTGGTCACTTACTGTGCACTTATTAGGGAAGTTATTTTCAAGGATTATCTGAATTTAATTTTAAACTGCATGTGTAGAACTTGCTAAAAACCATGTACAAAGTTTGCTGATTTGTGGTATTCTTCTTCTCTTAGTTGGCTCTCTCTTTGATTATGTATCACTTCCTGTTCCTGTTGTTTTTCTGTCAATTTAATTAAAAACATATACGTAACAACTTTTTTCATAGAGTAATCTTCACATGCTTTATCCAAAGCACACTCTCTGTTGATTCACTCACTAATTATATTCACAGTATTCACTGTCTCTTTAGGGATTTGCTGGCTCAACTTGTAGCCAGCTAGCTAGTAGCATGGCATTTTCACCTGTCCCTTCTGCACTTTCCTGCTCCCAGATGTTTAGTTACTCCACAGACTCCTTTAGCAATAATGATACTTGTAATGAATGGCAGCAATCTTCCATTCCAGCTTGTTAATCAACCAGAGACTCAGACAGAGTTTTAATTCATTTCAAAGCCTGATGCTTCACCTTGCCCACCCTTGCTGGAAAACTCATAAACCAGTCATATTTGTTATCATTTATAATTTCTGTCTGAATTCTCAGACTTTTTATCTGATTTAGTGCTCAGCTCAGATAAAAATAAATATTGTGGGTGATTTTAACATCCATGTAGATGGTAAAACTAAAAGCCCCAACACTGCATTAAATGTATTATTAGACTCAGGTGGCTTCTTTCACAATGTAAAAGATCCCACCCACCACCTTAATCCCACTCTAGAGCTTTTTCTGATATATAGCATTATACTGAACATTTATCAGCATTTCCTTCAAACCCTCTTTTGTCTGATTATTTCCTAATAGCATTTAAATTTACAATGGATTACACAGCAGTAGTATATAGATTTTATCACAATAAATGTATTTATGGAAGTACTGTAACTAGGTTAAAGGATATAATTCATCCACAGTCATCTTCTCCTATGCCTTGTGCCAACACAGAGCAGAGCAGCTACCAGAACACTACTCCCACAGAGGTCGATTATCTTGTTAATTATTTTACTTCTTTACTGCATACAACTCTGGATAATGTAGCTCCTGTGAAAAAGACAGACACCTGCTATAACTCTCAAATGTGCACCTTAAAGCAGACAACTCATAAGCTGAAGAGGAAATGATGTCTCACTAATTTAGATAATCATTTATCCTGGAAACTTAGTTTGCTGCTTTATGAAAAACCCTCTTTCAAGCTAGAACATTTTATCACTGATTTATTAGTGATTAATTAGTGATTAGAGAAAATAAGAACAACTCTAGGTTTCTCTTTCAGCGCTGAAAGAGTACCACAGAGCTCTGTTGTTGCAAGGATCACAAATAAAATTTTAACCATTAAAGAAAAAATTTGTCATAACCATCACACAGAAGTAGCATTATGTGCAGCTACTTTCAGTACCATTGGTATTTATTTAGACTCTTTTTCTTTCTTTCCTACCATTAATCTTAAATGTGATCAACCTATTTCTATTAATCGGGTATTTACCACAGGCCTTTAATCTGGCAGTCCTTACACTGTTACTTAAAAAGCCATGATTTGACCATTTGACCATTTCAATTTACTCATGTAAATGGAGAGTCCTCTTCATTCACTAAGGTTAATTATGAAGTTCCACAGAGTTCTATGCCAGGACTAATTCTGTTTACATTATACATGCTTCCCTTAGGAAGTATCATCAGAAGGCATAGCATACATTTTCACTGCTATGCAGATGACACCCAACTTTATCTATTCATGAAACCAGATAATACACACTAATTAGTTAAACTGTAGGAATGTCTTAAAGAAATAAAGACCTGGATTACCTCTAATTTTCTACTTTTAAATTCAATAAAAACTGAGGCCATTGTACTCGGCCCTAAAAGCATTACAAATACGGTATCTAACAAGATAATCTGGATGGCATTAACTTGACCTCTAGTAAGACTGTGAGGGATCTTTGAGTAGTTCTTGACCAGGATATGCCCTTCAATGGGCATGTTCATGCCTCTCTTCCTTGGAACCAGCTTTCAGTTTGGAGTCATGAGAGTAAACGTTTAAGATTAGGCTTAAAACTTTCATTTTTGATAGAGCATATAGTTAGGGTTGGATCAGGTGACCCTGAATTCTCCTTTAGTTATGTTCCAATAAGTATATGCTCCTGGGGGATTTACACAATGCATTAAGTGTTTCTTCTTCAGTTGCCTTTTTCACTCGCTTTTTTTTTGTCAGCATGTGTTTATACACCTCTCTGCGTTTAATTTTTAGTGATTCATAATGTTTCGATCTCTTCCACAGCACATCTCTGTCCTGTCTTCCTCCCCTTACCCCAACCGGTCGCAGCACATGGCCCCGCCCCTCCCTGAGCCTGGTTCTGCTGGAGGTATCTTCCTGTTAAAAGGGAGTTTTTCCTTCCCACTGTCACCAAAGCATTTTCTCATAGGGGGTCATATGATTGTTGGGGCTTTCTCTTTTTTATTTATTGTAGGATCTTTGCCTTACAGTATAAAGCAATTTAAAGCTACTGTTGTTGTGATTTAATGCTATATAAATAAAACTGAATTGATCTGAACTGAATTGAATGCTTTTACAATGTCTCTGATCCAACCTAGCTGACATATCTTTGCCAAAATCATTAATCATCTCTATGACTGTCAAGGTGGACAAAGGAGTGTTAAAACCAACCAGAATAATATCTGCGAAGCTCCAGGAAAAGCTCTTGGAAGACGTGTGCGTTCTGGGTGAAGAGCAGGCCATAGGTCTTGGTAAACATCTGGTTCATAGACTTCTCTGAAAGGTCTATAAGCTCTTTGAAGAACTCTGTGCAGAGACAGAAAAAGCAGCGATTAGCTACAAACTGGTCACCCACCCTCTTTTTCTCTAATATCTCGGCCAGGTTTCTATGTAGGCGCTTCCTCACCCTCCTCCCCTCCCTGAAAGATTAACAGCTCAGATCCTGCACACTGGTAAATGGGTTTAACAAAATGTACTCTATTTAAAATCCATCTTTAAGACTCATATGCAGTCTCCCACTCCTTAAGCATCTTTACATGACTCATCATTATATATTATATAAAAGTGTGAGGAAGGGTGATAGCAGTCTACTGCAGATAGGAGGAGAAAGTGTAAATTCAGCTCTGTACTGTGGCTGCTACAAACCTGCAGCTGTAGACGCATTTGAAACAATGACTGATAAAATCTCCCAGATACAGAGCACTATAAAAATAGTTGGGTTTTCCAAAAACTTTAAACAAGTTTATAGTTTATAAGTCATTATAAACTAGTCTTACAATTCCAGTGAAACCTTTTTTCATAAAGACTTCTATGTCTGTATAACGCTGGCAAAATCATAGCAGCATAATCATAGTTAATTCAGCTTAGACAAGCAGGTTATATATTTTTAATGGGAGGCCTCAACTGGGATTTTCTCCAGTTAAATATGGTGTTTAGCTGCATTATGGAAAATGTTATTTAGAGCGAAAAAAAAATGTTACAGACTAAAATGCAGGATAGCTTGGCCCTGGTTGCTTGATTTGTAACTAGTTTTATAATCAGTCTCTTGTGAGTCGCCACTTGTATGAAAATGCCTCACAGTTGCTAAAATTACATAAGTAACAAGCATTTTAATATATTTGCTTTGCTGTGCTTCAAGCATTTAGCTGTAATTTTAATAGCGCAGAAGTATCATCTGAATTAAATTAGGAAGGTCATTTTATAATTAAAACTCACTGGTTTAATTTTGGGGAGGGTCATTTTTTCACAAACTATGGTATCAAAAGTAATAACTAGCTTTTAATCAGCTTCAAATCAAATAATGTTCCCATTACAAACACAAGAACTACGAAGGTGTCAGCCTCTCACCGTCAAACCTGCGGTGTCTCTGGGTAAAGGTGGTCAAGAGAAACTGGCTGTTGTCTGAAACTGCTTTGAGGAAGTCCCTTTCACTCTGCTGGGCCAGAGTCTCCTCCATCTGACTGGAGCAGCAAGTGTAGTCCTGAGGACAGAGCCGCAGGTGCTCACCTAGAACAAACATAAAAGAAAGGCCATAAGAGAAAGCAAGGATTGATCCCACAGTTAAACCTATGGTGAGAAATCTGATTCCCTTGGTTTTTTTTAACTATACGTAATTATATGCTTCTACTTTATATATGCACTTGGTTTTGTGAAGCACTTTGTGCTGTTTTTATGACTAAAATGTATTATTAAGTGCAAGGCCAATTTCCATTATGGAGGTCAAAGCAGATTTTTTTTTTAGTTTGAAAGTCAATTCCTCTACTTGTCAGTCCATTCAGTGGGGAAATCTTATTAAAGATAACGCCGTGGTAGAAAAAATTTAATTTCCATGCATGAATTATTCAACTTCAATCTGTCTTTCTTTGTCAGCCCAGGTTGGGTCTTTGATATATCTGAGGTAATGATATATGCAAACCACACACAGGAGGGGGAGATGGGGGGATAACACAGGAGTACTCAAAATATGCAAAAGCCTTGAATTCTTTGTTTCTATCATATCGCATTCGACATGAATATTGCGCCTGTTAATAGAGCCGAAAGTCTGATTCTTAACTCCACCCTGGCCGATGTTCCTCTCTGCCTCTTTTGTTCTCCCTGTGTCTCTCACTATTAGCCCTCTCTCATCCCTCTATTTCCATTGCTAAACTGCCTCCCTTCACCCTTCACTCTCCCAGCCATCTGCTCCCCTGGCCCACGGGACAGTGAGCCAAGACTCAGGCAGTGATAGCCCAACATACACACACACATGCACACACACACCAAAAAAAAATCTATTCTGCAGTTGCCTCACACACTAAGCTAAATTGCTGTGAAAGAAAAGGAGGGGAAAAAACACTTCAAACATACATTTTATTCACAATCACTTTTAAAAGCAGCTCTATGTCTGTCTGAGAGGAGCAGACACATCCGCTCACTGATTTACATGCAAAGCTAAACCTCCAAGAAGTAAGCTACATCTTCACTCTGTCATTTGCACCCTCACATGATCAGACATTTTTATTTTGAACCATTTAACATCTAAAATCCACTTTCCTGTACCCCCTCCTCCTCTGTTCTACCCCATCACCAACTTCAAATTATTCAAAATCTAAGTGTTTGTAATCCGCATCCAATCTTCTCATTCTCAAGATAAGATTATCAGCGGTGAACAGAGCCTATGGGTGTATATGCAGGGATTTAACAGTGAGTCAGTAGGCAAAGACTAATTAAGGGCGAGGTTCTTTGTTGCACCGGTGTTGGCAATTTGCTCATCCCCTTAATCATCCAATTTAAACCGCACAGAGAGGAGGAGGGGGCGGGTGTAATTTGTTTTAAACCATACTGCATTGTTTCTCTTGGGGGGTAAAAACTCACCGTGGTGATCCTACAACGGCTCTCTGGGGCGTTTAGTGAGTTTGGAGCCACCTTGTACTTCTTTATCACTTTTCTACAGAGATTTGTTGCGTTTGTGTTTATAGGGCATTTCCTGCTACAATATTCCCTTAAAGATGCTTGCAGTGCGGAGCAGTGAGTTTACACTGACCTTAATGTGCATTATGTTATTTTTATCCCATGCTGATGTGCCTACATTTCTGCTGCGACATAACTGCACCCTACCCTAAAATTTACAATTAAACCTTCCATATATATATATATATATATATATATATATCATTACAGACTGCCCTATGTGGGTCCCGAGAACTGTATGCTTTAATTTATTCCCGCTTTGCGGTATAGGAACAGTCTTACCAGAAATTTGAGTCAGCGGAGCGGTGCTTGTGCTGTACCCCTTCTCCAAGTACACCTGCCTGGTGTCCGAGCAGCTTCTCCCCGCTGCAGCCAAAGGGCTCCGGGTCCCTAAAAGGGCAGCAGCCGTGCAAAGAAGTACCAGCAGCCGACGACTGGGAAAAGACACCCTGGTATCCATCCTCACTACAGGACTTGGAAAAAAAAGAAAAGCAGACTCCAGTAAAGGGTTCGGATAAAGCCAGACTGTGGTTGCAGCAGCTTATAAATGAATGAATGTCTGGCCGGTTTGGATGCACGCAAAAGTGTAAGGAGTAACGGGATCCCAAATCGTCAGTCGTTTGAAAGAGTCATAGTTTTTTCCCCAATAAGTGCAATGAACATCCGGGCCGGGCTTTTACATCACAGACAGGCCTGCGTTTCCATCGGCCGTGTTCATTTAATTTGTCCTTCCTGGGAGACCCGCTGTTGTACGTAAATACATGGGAGTGTGAAAGAGGCGCTCCCGGCCCACAGCATCATCTGACAGGCAAACTGCGTCAAACACTCGGGACGTAACCAGGGTGATACCGGAAGGAGGGCTGCTGTCAAAATAAAAGGGGAGGCTTGTAGTTGATGGGACAGCCAGAAAGACTACGTAAGGACATAACAAAAACAACAACCGTATTATCATGTTGTTATTACAATTTTTGAGCATTTGAAAGAAAGAGTCCCAATTTTGATTCATACTTTCATTCATTTCACAAGGGAAATTGTTTTACAGCAGCAGCGAAAATAGTAGTCTACAATAGATAAAGAGAATAACTAAAATAGAAGTGCCACAATAGTGCAAAAACTGATGTATGCATAAGTGATTTTTAAAAAATTACCTCAAGTTAAATAAGAGTAAATGAATGAGCAGAAGACAGATGTAACAGTGGAGCTGCAAGGAGAAGAGATGGTGGATGAGTTTAAATACCTGGGGCAAACCATCCAAGCAACTAACAGTGAAAAGGGGGTGGAGTAGGTGGAGAGGAGTCAGGGATGATTTGCAACAGAAGGACAGCACCAAGGGTCCAAGAAAATTTTTATAAGACATTAGTGAGTCCTGCTATGATTTATGGTTTGGAAATGGTAATGCTGACAAAAAGATAGGAGGGAGCAGCTTTAAGATCCTAAGATTTTCAGTCAAAGTGATGAGAATGGACAAGGTTAAACTAAGTACATGAGAGGGACAGCTCAGGTTGAACAGTTTGAAGACAAAGTTAGAAAGGCAAGGCTACATGTGCAGAGGAGGGATATTGGACAAAGGATATTGAAGATTGAGCTGCCAGGCAGGAGGAAGGCCACAGAGAAGATTCATGGATTTAGTGGAAGAGGACATGAAGATGATTGATGTGATGGAGAAGGATCCTAGGAATAAGGTGAGACAGATGAAGGCAGATGATCCACTGTGGTGACCCCTAAAGGGAGCAGCTGAAAGAGGATTTATCAGCATACATGGAATCTAAAGTTTGTCTTTATACTCTCCTGCTTTTACATTTTCTATTGCAATGACTGCTATTAACTAACTGTTATTTCACTGGCTGTTCTGTCGATCATCTTTGAATTCCACTATGAATGCATCCATAAGTCACCGTTCATGTGGGATATTGCCCTAATATGTTGGACAAGAGGATCCCTTTTCCCAGAGAAACGGTGCATATGGTCTAATATTAGTTATATGACAGTCTGCATTTTTGTTTTGTAATCATTGGCTGTGTCAGTTCAGCGAGAGAGTTATTTGTAAAGACAACTAATGTGTACACTTGTCTCTATTTTTATTTTGTTAAATGCGAACAAAATATAGCAGTACATGTCTGGCCAGAAAGAGAGTACCAATTTGTTTATTTGGTAGTTCGATGAAAGGCTTCAGTTAGTGAAGAGTAAGAAAAAGAAAATTCCATTCACATTTGCAGTTTTGTCTGGTTATACAATATTTGACATTTTAAAAAAACAAACAAAACACAAACGTTTTTGCAAATATTTGTAGGTGTTTTCTTGTTTTTTGGGTTTTTTGTACTACTTGTACACTAAAGTGGCCCTCCAATGAAATGACCGTACCAGCAGTGGCCCACAGCTCATTTAAGTTTGAGATCCCTGCTTTAGATTAATCTCATGTGATTTGCATGAGAACATCAATATTTTATTTTGAAGGTGAAGACCAGAAGTTGTGTTTCACCCAGGCTGTTTTGACGCTGGTCACAGCCTTTCAAACAGAGAACAATGGACCAACTGGGAACTGAGGGGTGAGGATCCTGCGGTGGCGGGGCAAGGACCAGTCAACCACCTCAGGGTGCTACAAGCTATAGATGCAACCATGAAACCTATGAACACAATATACATAATGAAAACTATCTATATGAACACAAGAGTAAATTAGCTGCAAGGTGAAAGGGTTGCAGTCACGGAGATATCTTTAACTGGTTCCATTTATTGCCAATACTACTAGACAACCATGCAGAAGAATTGACCAATGAACATCGAGTTATTTTCTGCTAGGACCAATCACCTTCTAGTAACAATCCACAGCGGCGCGCTTTCGGCAGTTCTCAGTTTACGAGGAAGAAAAGTTAGCCAAGGCAGAAAATTACTCAACACTAACTAAATTATCAAGTGGTAAACTGATATCCTTAATCTGCTAGTGGTGGTTATTGAGTAGTTTCATTTGAAATACTTTAAGTGCGTCTTAAAAGCTTCATAAGTTGAGTTTGTCAAACAGGCTAATGAAGTTTAGCTTGTCATCTTGCTAATTTTATTTTATACCGTATCTTTCTTCATAGCCTCCACTCCTGAATATAGTAAGTCTGGTACATTCCTTCAGCCAAAATGGCAAGTGGAAGTTCAGCTTTGGACAGGTAATGCTGATACTTTGTGTTGAAATGTCAAAAGGTTAAGAGAAATTAAAATAATAATTCTAATTTGACAGCGTTCATATTAAAAAGCATTGTGAAAGTTGCTACTAATGCTCTGGCTGAAGCTAATAGCTTAAGGGTTGTATAATAATTCTACTTTTTCATAATGATACCTGCCTGTTTTCTTATCACCCTTCATTTAAATTCACCACAGTAAAGCTGAATTTTTTTGTCTAACTTGTCAATTATTTCCCTTGTCTTTTAGTCTTGAGGAGTTAGATTCCCCCACTGACTCAGGCAGTGACTATGAGGCCACCATGAAAGGAGCAAAGCGAAGAAAACCAGCAGTATCTAAGCAGGTGGATTTTTGTCTCTTTAAAATAACTTTCTGCTTTTTTATTAGTCATTGTAAAAGATAAATCTGCCATCACAATAGCTGCAAATGCTGTATTTATAGACCTTTCAGAAATTCCATTTGTGTCACTTGGCGACTGTCAGATGAATACAACTACAACAGAAAAGACATTACAGCCACAGCTGTTCGCTTTCTTCTCTTGGCTGCTCCCCTCAGGGTTTGCTACAGCAGATCATCTGCCTCCATCTCACCTTGTCCCTAGCATCCTCCTCTGTCACACATGCCCTCTGCATGTCCTTCTTCATTACATCCATGAACCTTCTCTGTGGTCTTCTTCTTTCCTCCTGTCTGGCAGGTCCATATTCAACATCCTTTGTCCAGTATAGCCATTATCTCTCCTCTGCGCATGTCAAAATCATTTCAAGCTTGCCTCTCAAACTTTGTCTCCACATTCTTAATGATCCTCATTTGGTGGCCATATGCCCTACCTTGATACAATCCTCCCCATTCATCCAGGCTTTGAACTGATGCTAAAAGTATACTAGTTTGTCATATTGTCACTGGGTTTTTCACCAAGATTAAAGACATTAGCAGAAGCATCAGCAAAAATCAAATGCAGCTATCTGCAAGTAACATCCACATCATATCATGTCACCTAGACTTGTTCATCAGAAATATGCGATTAGGTATAAAAGACCTCTGAGCTTTAGATGTCCATTCTGATGGTGTATTCACCATGAAGAGCCTTTAACTCAGGGGTGTCAAACTCAAATACACAGTGGGCCAAAATTCAAAACAGGAACAAAGTCGCGGGCTAACATTAATATTTATTAAAAAAAAAAATCTTCCTCCAGATATAAGAATGAATCTTTTCTTATGGACTCAAAAAAGTTTTGCTGAAAAACTGAATATGGAACAAGCAAAGCTTAATACTAAACAATATATATATTAGCTGTATAATACCAGTAGGCCAGCTCTAATAGTAATTTGGTATGGCTTTGCGGGCCAAATGTAATTAGGCTGCAGGCCAAATTTGACCCGTGGGCCAGAGTTTGACACCTATGCTTTAACTCATCACTGATGGTTTCTCACCCCTTTTACACCACCCTTCCCAAAGTTGCTGACTTGTTGACTGTATTGTTGCTGACGTGCCTCCCATGTAAGGGAAGTAAGATTGCAGTAAAACAAAAAGTTAGAGTGCTCTCAGCAAATTACCAATAAAAAAAAAAGAGCAATATATATCTGCCCACATCAAACTGACTCCACTTTCACATCAAGTATAAATGTTATAATCCTTTTTTTTAAATGACACTTATGCTTGACTCCTATGATAGTTTTTCATCAATCACTATCCCTATGTATTTGTATTCATTTACAAATTCAGTACAGTTACCACTTACCACTACCTGTTGTTGTCCCTGCCTGATAGCAATAACATTTAAAAAAATCTTTTGTTTTCTTGGTGTTTAACTGAAGTAAAACATTAAAGTCATCCAGATATCCACAATACTTTGCTCCAGGTTCTGTGGCCAAACTGGTAATCACTGTGTCATCAGCAAAAAGACAACAACACTATAATAGATGTCTAATATACTTTATTTTGGCATGTTGCTTGTTCAGATCACAAGCAAAATGCATTCTAAATCCTTAAATAAATCTCTTTCATCTCAAGCCACCCAAGAGAACCAGGCATAATGCTGCACTGAAGGGGATGTCCAGCCCCAGTGGCAGCTCAGTTCCCACCCCTCCAGGTCCTTCCCCACAATCCGTCTCCCAGGGGACATCCATGCAGCTCTCTGCTAGATCTGTTAGGAGCATGAACGAGGAGAGACAGATTATCAGCGCAAAGGATATCTATGATGCTGTCTGCTCTGGAAAGAGTGCCATGGTGGTGAGCAAACCCCAAGCAGAGGAGTGTGGAAGGAAGGGGGAAGGTAGCTTAGAGATAAACACATGAAGGGAGGGGGTACTGAATGAAGCATGTGTAATTATAAGAGAAAGAAGCTGACAATGAGGGGTTATCATGTGCTGTCAGTGGCTGACTGATGTGATCCTACAGAAGTGACTCTGATACATTAAGAGAGACGGGTGTTCTCACTGGACCATGTAGTCAATGATTGACAGCACTTGTGTATCCCAAGTATTGTTCTTGCTATAGCTGCTTTTGGGTAAAGACTACAAAAGAAAGGCAGCATAACAAAAGAAATACAGTAATAAATAGTCTGTCACTACAGTGTAGAACTGCAAGACAATGCAGACGGGGACTCTGGGGGGAGGCTCATTATGCACATTCAGAAATTCTGG